ATATATATATATATATATATTTATACTACTGGCATGAAAATTCGACGAGATGTCACCTTTGATAGTAGAAAATATTTCGCAAGATATTCATTTGATACCATGCAATATTTTAGTGGTAATTGTCGTCCTGCCAAAAGGAGAAAGTCAAAGTTACTTGTATCGGGTGTGTGATGTGTCCGATGTGCGAGGAGCCTGGGCATGGGACCAAAAGCTGTAGCAGAAATACAACGACAGTTGAAGAATAGGTTCCATTAAATCTGTACTGTAAACCTGTACAATGTACATAGTAAAACGTCAATAGAATAGTATACACCTATTTTATAAAAATACAGTTATCTGTTTGATCAATATAAATACAACCTCGTTTGATTGAACCGCTGTTTTGCTTTTTTTGCCCCCTGGATTTTATTTTATTTTGTCGATGCACGTTAAGGCCGGTTTTGCTAACTTTGGAAAATATAGAGAAAAAACAGCCTTAAAAAATAGAGAGGTATATTTTGGTATATTTCTTGAGAAATTTTGGAACTGTATATTCCCACACAATTTCAAAATATGCTGCCAGTTGTATTTGAAATATTGTCGAATATTCGCAAAGCAATTCCTTTTTACGAGTTGGCAAATGCGCAGAGCCGCGGACACAAGAAATTCTGTACTGGAGCCGAAAAATTGAAGACAGCGGTTTTGATTGACGTATATTAACCAGAGCCAGATTTTTGGATGTCAACCGGAGTAATGTGAGTAAAATGTGGAGTAATCTGATAAATCACAACAAACAATTTCTTTCCCAAAGCAAAAAGAGGGTATACCCTCTTTTAGACTTGAAGGAAATATACAACAAAACGAAATATTGTGTTGTATTTTTTACGTCTCGAATAACAGAATTTGATGTTGCCAAAACCGTCAGTACATCCGATTTCCAAAATTATTGTGCTGAAAAATTATAGAAATCGATCCTCAATATTTTTCTGAATATTCCGAAATCTTGACCAAAAATCCATTACCACCACGGCCCTCTGGATTAGGGTCGCGAGCAGAAATCAGGTTTCATCGTAGCGGAAATCGTAAATTTAGCAGCGACCCTAATCCAGAGGGCCATGGAAGTACTGAAATTAGCTACCGGAGTAACATGTTTTACTCATCTCAAAATTTATTTCCCTATATTTTGCAAAGTTAGCAAAGCCGGCCTAAAAATACACCCCCTTCAAATATTTGCGTCCTATCTTTCAGTCAACTGAAACATTTTTTTAAAATTGTACCAGGAAGGCGTAGGGGATAAATACCTAGGATATTTACATCCCCAGAGGGGGTGCGTAGGCAGAGTCCTGAATGTACGTATTTACTTTAGCACTTGAACATGAAGTATATAAAAAAACCCTCAGCGTTCTCTCCTTGAGTTCGAATTTCTCTCACCGTTCATACATAACATATGAAACCTACTCGTAGATTACGTCCATTGATAATCTTGAACACACCCAAGCCTCGTCTTTTACCACCGCTATCTGTTTCAGTATATACATCTATATTCAAGGGGGATGACCGGGATCGCTGCATCCATTGCGCATGGCTAAAAACTAAATAGGGTATATCTAAGCATATGTCAATTCTTAGACCAATATGTTGAATAAATATACTTATAAATAAGCGAGAGAGTGCCGAGAAAGGCTATCCAGACAGGTTTGACTGTGAGGAGTGCGAATCCGAGGAATGTAGAGACGCATCACGCACGACGGCACGAGTATATAGTACAACACCTACAAACAGGCTGTAAGCGTATAAAAGGGGTCGGAAAGAACCCGGTTCGTGGATGTGTGCACCATACGTTTAACGTTTATATTAAGTCGGCCTATAAATAATATTTTCCCTAAGCTTGTGCCGTATTGAAATATGGATTTTCTCAAACTTTTGGCTCGTATATGAACGTTTTGAAGTTTATAGATATCGAATAAATAAGCGTTAACGGATGGATGACTATTTACAGACTGAAAGCATTAACACATGTATGATAAACTGTGCTTTGCGAACTGCGAAATAATATCGTTATCTCACCCTGCTGGTCATAAAACGTAAGTATCAATATGCACTTATCGTTCCACCATCTGACTTCGAGAGTATATTTGAATGTGTATTTTAATAGTGGGTTTTAAACAAGTTGATACGACGTACTTCGATATAATTATATCAGTGGAGGATATGTAGAGTTGTTGCTCTGGGTGAGTCGCTGTAGGCAGTGCGACCACGACAAAATGGTGGCTCCGCAGTGTGGAGCGTGCAAAACGATGAGTTGGCAAAAAAATGATGCTACGCTTGGATCATTCTAGTGTTATCTATAATACTCGTCAATTGAAGGTTCTCTCAATAGTCACAAGCAATATCAGTCGGCAGTGACTTTTCAGACTTGCAACGCACAATCGTGTTCAGTAAGACATCTAGGTATTGCAATTGAGGACTATACTTTATCATATAGTCGGAAGCTCGTATCATTTGTATCACTGAAATGGGAGACTCGCACGCCAAGTCGGCAGACATCCTACAATCTGACACTGCAGTTGGGAGTTTAACTAAATAGCTAGAACATCACGCGATTTTTGCTAATGTTGTAGTTTCCGGCTGGAGCGCTACACCACTGGCAGTTTTGCCGCTTCAAATTCTGGAGCATTCAGATTTTTCGCGCCTCCAAATGCGTCTAGGATCCAGAGGGATTCGATGTCAAGAACAATAAAAACGAACCCATGGTCAGATGGCCATTCTTTCATCACAGGGTGAGCACTAAAGAGAGACTCCCGAGCAGCTGCGATATCATCTGCATCGGATAGCTGTCGCATACGTCCTGTGAGCGTAACGTGCACACATCTTGGATCTTCAACATCCAAATTTCGGTTCTGGCAATAAGGTGTATCTACTAAGGAGTAGGTCAGAGAGATTGCACTGTTCTTGGACATATGTCGCATTGAGGTATCCATCGGGGTCATAAACATACAGGGTTGGGCGTAAGAACCTTCCTTTTCGATATAGCCCACCGCGGTTGCCTGGCCAAACGGATAAGGACTTTCGTCGCTCTCTCCAGCATTATTCATGTAGACTGTTGATACTGTTGCCCAAGTGGAGAATGCCACAGTTGCTTTGGCCACACCTGCATGATCCCCGTTCTTAACAAAGTTTTCCACCATACTTTCCAAAGAAGAAGCTTGAATGTCATTAGTCACCGCAACGGATTCCCTTCCCATCTGGTGAGCAGGTGCTGACATCATCATCACGAGCAACGCAAAACACAACAAGAACCCAGATTTAAGAGCGAGATCGATTATCAAATAAGCATTAGAGAATCGTTTCTCCTTTAACCATGGTGTGCGCTCTTTGATCATGCCATCCCATTCAGTGTCTGGCTCATCGTGATCTGTGGTAAGATTCATTGTTCAAAATCGAGAACGAAACTTTTTTCAATTTTAAGTGTATTGAATAACTGTGCGAGTAGAGACTCTACGATCGATTGTTTTATTTAAAAACAGAGAAAATCCCAAAATATGTAAAATGTATTTATATATAGTTAGACAGTACACGAGAGACTGTCTGGAGTTTACTGTTGCTTCTTGAGCCTGTACAGAGGACGACGTCCGAAGATGCTCACTTTGACCATAAAATAGTCATCACACACATCACACAATCACATGCATGTCACCGGATATAATGGCAACCATGGAATGTAATGTGGACAGACATCTTGTGTGTGCAACTGAGTAGTGAGTAGTATTGGCGGAGTGACAGTCTGACAGACGACAGTTGCCACTTGCCAGAGTAAAACAGATCCAGAATTTGTGTTCTTTTTTACTCTACTACTATTTTAGACAGAGGCACAAGAAATCATAAAATAGCTATATGTATGGTAGACTGGCGTCTGGCAGTATGAGCCTAGTCAGTCAGCCAGACTCTTGTTCAAGCCTCTGGCTTCCTGAGTCCGGACCTCTGCCCTCTTGTGTTTAAAAAAAAAGTTTTTGTACTACATGTTCTGTCACTGTGCGGCGGTGCGGCCCAGCGACGGGTCTGGCATGCGGCCAGCGGCACAGGAGGTCTGCAGTCTGCACTCTCACACTCTGCGAGTCTGCAGTGAGCAGTCTGCACTCCGCACTTACTGCACTAACTGCAGTCCTGCATTCACGCGGTATAAACTCAAGTCTTAAGATATGGGCGGGTGTGGACGTCGGATGATAAACAACACTCTATATTGGACTTTCCACTTCAGTCACAAGTTCAGTGGTTCAATCACAACCAGATTGAATCATACATATTGAGATTTGTGATCAACAATTCAGCACAACAAGAGATTACACGAGAGAGAGAAGAAGAGAGCCCAATTTCATAATTCACACACGTTGCTCTGGGAACGTGCGTGACTGTGTATCTTTACATGACCTATACTATCTTCGAGTGGTCGTGGTCGGACAGACGCCAGCTGAGCATCCAGTATACTTTTTTTCTTCGTATGTTGTAGGCAATGTAGATTGGAGAGAGTGGGCCAGGTCGGACAGACATCTGAAAGTACTCTAAAATAAACGGACAAAAGGCGTCCATCCGAAATCTGAACGGCGTACATACACCTCTAATTTCAGATTTCTCTCGTGTTTGGCGTTTCGAGTAATCGAGTACTCACGAAGTCGTGATGCAAATGTATGTATGCACTATGCACCTATACATTTACAAACTGGAATATGTTTTTTTAATAGGGTTTTACTACAGTCTGCACTCTGCAGTCTGCAACTCTGCACACAAGGTCAAGTTTTCTCCCTCGTGTGTGTATTCGAGAAGCGAAGAGAATATATAAAATAGGAGGAACGTGTGCAACAAGAATCATTCTGAAACAACCCACCTAAACAGCATAATCTTCGAATACGTTTATAATATACATCAAAATGCACGGAACCACTGTTACTAAGATGCTTGCCCTGTGCTTGGCGGTCGCTGGAGTTTCGACCGTGATGGCCGAGGATATTGATTCGAGCTATGTGAGCTGGTGCGTATATTCGGATAGCAGTTGCAGCCCTACCTCGGAAATTGAGTGCACTTTAGTGCCTCTGGATGGCAGTTGCGATACACACCACTTCGATGCGCACTCGTTTGGCCTGCACTACACGAACACAACTGACATCAATATCCAGTTCTATTTTGATGATAGTTGTGCCGGTGGCTCTACCAACTTCACGATTGAGACGGACTCTTGTGTGACCTACTTTGACCACGCCGACCCCCCAAATTATGTTTACTTGTCGCACATCAACGAGGCGGTCGCAGAGAGCATAAAACAAGCCGACGATAGTGAGTCTACCGCAGATTCAGCGATGGCTGTAGCTATCAGTGCCCTTGTCATTTCGATCGCTTTCGTCGTAGTGGGATCAGTAGTTCTGGTGTACGTTGTGCGCACTAGCAGACGGAATAACCAAGCTACTGTTGGAGATATCAAGAGATCCATTACGTCTCCGTCGGACACACAGGTGACTAACATGCGCAACTTGGAATGAAGTAACGATGTGCATCACTAAACTGAAAATGAATATATAGGCCGGGCTTGGGCAGGAGCTTGTAGCGTTTCTTGCGATGTATTACAGGACTACATGTTTTTCTATTCTTGAGATGATAAGTCAATCAATCAAATGAATACGTCATGTTTGTGTCAATGTTACGGACCAAGAATGTGCACTCCGTATGGTGAAACCGCAAATATGCCAGGCTAGAATGTCTGCAAATTAGTAATCAATTATTAGAATGCCACTATGCCAGGCTAGGACGCCTGCAAAAAGAAATGGTTAGATATCCTGGTGCTGGTAACTTTATTTAAAAGAAGGTACAAGAAGATTACGACAAGGATCCTCTGATATGGATGTCTAATGCTACTGATGCGTCATCAGCGAGGAATCATAGCAGCGGGCCTTTGGAGTTTTAAATTTTTTAGTGCAACCATCAACCAAATAAATTTAGTATTAGGATATATCAAACAAGGCGTGTCTATTTATTGAAAAAAGAATCATGTGTATGTGGTATCCACGTGTTCGGGTGTGTCTGGAAGAATGGTATGTACAAATACACGGCAAGTGTGAGAGGTCAGCGGTATGTGCTTAGTCTTTAACCAGAATACGATACCCTTCGATGCTTGACTCCCGGACATACTGAGTCCGCGTGTGTGCGTTAGTCGCAATGTGAGATGAGATCCATGATCGCACCACAGCCTTCTTAAATTATACAACTTCACAATATGATGTCATACTTGTGCCTTTTTAGGTCACTTTGAGGTTACTGGTCTAAAGCGACAATCAGCAAATCATATTTGCTATCTTCATTTAGAGGGAAGGGTGTATCGTATTCTGCTTTTGGGTTGCGAGTTAGGATCTGTTGCGGCTTTAAAAAACCCAAACCCAAACCCAAAACCTTAGAGGTCTTTGGATTGCATAAAATATTCTTCGTGAGCTTCCTCTACACAACCCTGTACGGTCAACATCATCAAAGTATCAGTAGACTTGCCGTATCGACCTGTTTTAGAGGCTGTAGTTTAATGGCTTGTTGACAGTTCCGGTACACGGTATTTATTCTGATTGCATGCAAGTACCACAAATTGTACGGTGGGATGCACACTTATTAGACTATATAACGTGACGCAAGCTTGTACATTCATAACTCATCTATATAGTAAATATATATATATATATATATATACTCACACACACACACACACATACACACACACACACACATACACACACACACACACATATA